AAGTTACACCAGTTTACAATAGCATGCTGTTTTTGTACAATTAAAATGACTGGAATGTTATTACTAAATGTAAATAGTGATAAGTGCAATTGACAAAGTGTAAATATTAGCAAGCAGTTATTTGTATTAAAGGTAAATTGTCTGGTAAGTGGGTGGAAATAGTCTTTGAAAAAAGACTGGATATTTGTACTCGGTGTAAATGGACACTGCCTACTACTGTCTGTTCAACATGAGTATTAAATGACTAGTTAATTCTGCTTTACTCACTAGAGGGAGACGTTTAACTGTTGCCATTTGTTTTAGTAGATTGTATGGTGACTTTCTCACAAATAAAATGACAGTGCAAGCAAACGTTTATTGTTTATAATGTTTATTTGACTCTGGTATAATCCCTTTGAACCTCTCAAATGACCACTGGACAAATCTGCAGGCAAATGACACTCAAGTCATATCGAGACAAACCCTAAAACACATTTTTGAGATGTTAACAGATAAGTACAAGTTGCACATAATTGAAAACAACAATAGCACTCATTGTATATTATGGGGAAAGTTTTATGGTTATTCTGATGCTACATTTACATTTATTCGTTCAGCAGACACTTCAATAAAGCGACTTAGAAATGAGGAACATACTGAGTTTATGTAATTCAAATCCATCTGTCTGGAGCTTCCTTTGTTATGTAAGTGACAATTGATTACTGTGGGTCATGCGTGTTTAAAACAATTCTCACTATAGGCCACCTAACCTAATGCATATTCAAACTATTGGACTGCTTTGTTTTATTATCCAGATGAGCAAAACTACACAAGGGTTTTGTGTTCAGAGTCTGGTTATGGAAAGACTTTCATGATTTGACCCCAAACTGACTGAACACGCACATGATGGCGTTTAAAATATAAAGCGTCACATTTTAGTCCATAAAAACGCTTCCTCTAGTGAAAAAGGCCATCTCCTGTTATCTCTCACATAAAAATCCACCCACATATTTGTTTAGAAATGTTTTGGACTGTTTTTCGCTTGTAAACTGTGCTTAATCTGTGCATATTTCTCTCCTGATTCAGACGAGATGACATTTTCACTGGAGAAAGCAATATCATGGATTATTAGCCAGAAGAAATGGCTTGAAGTTAAAAAAGTCTTGATGGATTTGTTTCTTACAAACACGCAGCTTTTCTCTTCACAAGACATTAACTGATGGACTGGAGTGGTGTGGATTACTTGTGGATTATTGTGATGTTTTTATCAGCTGTTTGGACTCTCATTCTGACGGCACCCATTCACTGCAGAGGATCCATTGCTGAGCAAGTCATGTAACATTTCTCAAAATCTGATGAAGAAACAAACCCATCTACATCTTCCAATATTTGGACTTGAGAGCGTCAACATATTGGACAAGCAGGAATGGAAGGATTATGCCATCATATTAGTTTTCACATTAATTATGTGGACCATTCGAAATGCAATCCTTATGTGATGAAATATGATTACTTGTTTGGCTGGCCTCATCTTATTATTGCTGTCATTAGCATTTCTTCTTCTGTATGGCTTCTCTTTCTTTCTTCTCACGCACACATAAATTGCTTTTTGTGCTTCATTGTGGTATGTTCGGTATCTACTAATGACCACCAGGATGCATGCTCATGGGTTATTAAAATAAAGAGCAGAGCAATCAATATTCAGCACTCCAGAAAGCCAACAATTACATTGGAAAGCTCTTACAGGAACCATTTAGGAAACCGGTGTAATAACTCAGCTGGAGGACTGCGGCTAATGACAACATCCCACTTATGCAGAATGGGATTTTAGCAGCTTTCACAAGAATTTTTCAAATACAGTCCAACCCCTAAACTGTAAAAAAACATCTGGTGGCAACATTTCAGGCATCATCAATCAGAATAACCAGAATAATGGGAATTTGCTGCTTGTATACAGTATTTTACAGGTTATAATTGTTTATATTTAATCTTATAATTATATAAATCATGCATAAGTATGAACGACTTTCCACCACAGAATAAAAAAAATATCTTAAAATTATCTTCTCTCACAGTTTAGACATTTTCCTCACAATTTTCAGAAAACAAGTCAGAATTGTGAGATATAAAGTAAGTCTGGAGTTATAGCCGGTCAATGGTGGATCTTTGGGGAGCGATTGTAGCATTGTGTAGGAAATCAGCACTGTGATTGACATGACCAATGAAATATTTTGTATCGGCTGCAGGGCGTAATTTTGAACTGGTTTGGGAAAACAAATCGTGTCATATGTGTCATGTGTCTGTCTGTCAAAGGGAGGACTCCTGTTTTGGAGTTCTCACCCCCATTTGAAGATCTTGTACCTCAATTAGCCAACCTCAAAGGGTAATCAGTGCTTATGTAGCTCACCATGACCAAACAATAATCAAAATCATTACGATAACACAAGCTGAATAGAACAATTTAACATTTTGCAATGCTTTCATGCTCTTGGCTCTTGTTTTGTGCATGAGGGCATGTCATTTGTTCATGATTATACGATTAGCTGCATTTTATTATTTGCATTCAGTATTGCTTTTCCCTGACGTCCATTTTTGGGTTTAGTTGTTTAATCGTGACAGTGGACTTCATACTGACACCTACTGGTGTGGATGTAGAATCACAGAAACTCACCCATGATCAATTGATTCTGCATTCAAAAATTCTGTTTGGGAATCTGTAGATTTGGGCTGGTCATATGATCTCAACATGCTGGACCCCATGACAGGGAAGCACCTCATGCAAAATAACAGCGTAAAAATATCCTGCATATCACACTCACAGGGTGGATCTCTCACGCTCAATGCTGATGTTTGCGCTGGCATTTCCAGTTCATCTGGTTTTCAGAAAGACATCTCTGACCAAAACAAAAGACTATAAAAGACAACGCCTCTGATTGTCACTGACCAAACAAGAACTTCGTTTTATAAATTAAACGTATGTGTCCCATTCACAATAACCACAGCATCATTTCAGTACAAGTGTTCACGTTCAGCATCAACATTTGTTGTGCTTATTGGTTATACTGGTTATAATGACAACAGCTTTTTGTAAACCTCTATATAAAGGCAAAAGACTGTGGAAAAGGAAAGACATCAATCATAAATCAATCATTTGTTTTCAGTACAGTGCAATAACCATAGTGCATTTCAGAGGTTCACCTGAGGTTTTCCAATGTTTTCCATAAAGTGCATGACAGGATCTTCCAAATAGAGGAAGGAACTATACATGATACTAAAAAATAAATCTTTCACAACCATGAAGTGATGAATAATGGCGAAACTGGGAATCTTATTGAAGTAGCTGCATTTTTGGGGTCGAATTGTCCAATTCTTTGCTGTTAAAAGTCATTGACAGGATTTATCTTATGTCACCCCACTTTCATTCTCATTCTGGAAGCATCTTGAGATGGTAATCACTGTTAAAGTTTAAATTCCCAAGACAATGGTGATCCAACAATTGACTCCGCAGCAGGCCTTCAAGTGACACGTCATTCATCCTTTGTTTTAGTCACTCAGTGACTCCCGGAGTCCTTTCACCTTCCTGAAGTTCATTTGTTCGACTTCTCCAGTCCATATTTCTCCTCCAATCCATGCTCACTTGGGTAGGAGTTCGCGGTACGGCACCGTCAGGTTCCCCAGGTACCAAAAGATCCAAAACACCAGGCTAAGGAAGATGATGATTGGTCCGGTCAGGACAAACAAGTCCCAAAAACTGATGGGTGCAAAAATGCCAACGAAGAGGAGAACTAGTCCAGCTACGTCGAAAAGAACGGCCAAGAAAAGAAAGAGGAAGCAGCGTCCCACTCTTTCCTTGCAGTCCATCTTGGAGAAGCTCAAGTAAGGAGAACCGACGGATGTACGGCAGGCTGATGGGCCTGAAAAACGAATGACAGGAACTTTCCCTCCACAAGACTTTTATAAAGCAGCTCACCCACATTCTTACGCAGTGCATTTCTTTGACGGCAGGTATGCAACCACCAAAACAAGTTCAACTGCCTGGCGAACGCCTACTGAAAAGGCCAAGACTTATTTTTATACATATTATTCCTCAGACAGTTCTCATCACCATGACGGTGCATCTGCTAGATAAACAATTGTGAACAGATTCAGATATTTCCACAGACAGAGAAGAGCCTTCGTCAAAGCACCGGCGCAGATGCCGCATTACAAGTTGTGCCGAGTTGTTTTCTCAGTTACGTAATACTTAAATAACCGGTATGAGTCACAGAGAGACTTTTCACATTTCAGGAAGCCACACAAATTGAGGCATTATTCAATTTGACGATTAAACCCCAACACTCAAAGCCGGTTAGGCATTAGATCAAATCACTAACCGTAAGAATATAGCAATAGTGACTAAGCAAACACCACATGAACTAAAAACAAATAGAGTCATATGGGTGAAATGTGATTTAATTGTTTATACAAACTTGGGCTTTAAGTTTACATGCATTTCATATTGCATCGGTTAAAACGACAACTACAGTATTGTGAGTGAAAGAGGGAGTATGCACAGTCAGGATTTGCTTGGCATGTCAAGATTATGTGTTTTACATTTACATAAATCATGCAATTTTTTCATATACAGTTATGTTCACATAACTCGCTCACTACTATAATATTTAAAAAATATACTTGAAAAAAATATGTTTTTTTTTGCCGTATTGGTGCAGTATTAAATGTTTGTGTGCCAAGATGAACCAACAGGTCCCTTGAATGAATTTTCAGTCCATTGTATTTGCTGTCGGACTGGTTTGGTCACTGATGACACTAGCATCGAGTGTAGATCGACTAACAAATGAAATGGCTTGACTCTGGAGGAGTTTGCATGAGCGCTCAGCTGCCACTTTGAAAGGGAAATGGATTCCTAGCATGCATGAGCTGATGCATGAATTTACATATGAGGATGTGCAAAAACAAGGGCTGTGCCTGAGCAGCATTTTACAACACAGAATATCATCAAAAAAAAAAACACAGCACACATTGAATGGCTATATATCAGACAATATTTGGCCATTTTAGGATTATCAAAATTTGGCTGATGTAACCTCCATTTCTAGAGGTAATTTGCCAACAGTTCTGCCAAAGCATTATAAATCCTTCTAATGAATTTTGAGTAAATATTGTGCAAAGTAAGAGTTCGCTTCATTTCACCAATTTGGTGTCCATTAAAAGTATTCTAGCATTATATCAGCCACCCTGCTTTATAGATATCAGGCCAATGAGAATCTTCAACCCCCATACAGAAACACAACAGACAGCTGTGTTTTACTATATTAAAGCATATATATAGTATCATTTGAGTTGTACGCAGTATCTCTAGATGTACTGCTGATGGCAAATGTTTGAAGACTATTGAAGGTTCTCGGTTATTCAGTCATTGCTTAAGGACCTAGAAAAAAGAAAACAAGCTTAACTTAAACTTTGGTAAGTATGAGAAGTTTCCAATTCATGAATGAATTAGTGAGTTTGCTTCAATTTATACATTTATACGCACATCTATATTAAAGGTCAAGGATGATGTTGTTTAAATGAATGATAAAAATACTGCAAAAATTATTAATGATACATGCAAGACTGTACATAACTATACAAGAAATAATACATTATGATATTATGTAAATAACCTAAAATGTAGGTTTAGATTTGCAGCTTTTCTTGGTCAACAATTACACACCAGCTAAAATAGAAACACACGGATGTTTGTTTATGAAAATGCCATGTGCATAGCATGAAACTGTGTAGAGTCACATACTGCGAGTTTATGATGTTGAATTTAACTTTACTCCAGTGGCTTTATTATTTGAGCAATTAGGGTTACTTTAACTCACCTCTTTTCACAGCAGAACATCAATGCTCTCTGGCTGATCCTCTGGCTTCTCCTCATGAGGTTTTTCACCGTCTTTGGTCACGGCTGATTCTGATTCCTCGTACCCTTCGTTCTGGTAACAGGTGAACTGATCATCTCCAGGCTTTTTCTCCTGAGACGCTTCACTGCATTTGCTCACATCTGATTCAGAACCGTCTTCTGACCGGGTCTGGTCATCTGTCTCCTCCTGGATTGGTTTGCATGACTCCTCGTCCTCGTACCCTTGATTCTGGTAGCACATTAACTGATCATCATCTGATTTTTCTTTGGATAGTTCATCACATTTGATCATATCCGATTCGAGATCCTTGTGTCCTGGGAAATAGGTGGATTTTCCCCACGTTATGTTTCGAATGGTGGAAGCTTTGCTTCCTGTTTTCTCACCTGTGCAAAAATAATAGATAAGCTTCAACATATAGATCAATACACACATAAATACAAGAGTGGGCACAGACTGGTGATGGTTATTTCATCAGTAGGCCTATTTAATCTTAAATTTAATCATAAAAGGATTTAAGAAAGAAAAATGATTCATGAGACACTTTTAAAAATTAAAGGTTCTTCAGTGATTCTTTAAACGGAGATGGTGATGGGAAAAAAATGAGATAGATAGGAGGAAAAATTATATTTCAAAAGGCTACTTTTGCGTTCTCTCTTTTGCGGTTCCTCGAGAAACTAATTATTCTCGGGGGAACGCAAAAGTTTTGCTAAAGAACCTAAAAGTGTTGACATAGCCTAGAAGTTGATTTTACCTCCCACTTTTCCCCCATGTCCATCTTTAGGTTTAACTGACGCCTCTTTGTATTATCAAGAACATTTTGGCTTAATATGATTTTTGACATGCTTACATGGTTCTTTGAATTTTATAAAGGTTCTTAATGGTTCATTATAGGATCTTCACGTCGGTGTTTTGGCCTCTGAGTTCTCGCCAGCATCATTAAAACAATAAAGCGCTTAATTCTCACCTGTGCTGTCCTTCAGGTGTGTTTTGGACAGTCTCTCCGTGAGCTTCCTCGCGAGCTCTTTGACGCTGTGCGCGGCGCTCGATTTGCGCGCCAAACCTTCATCCTTCACCCTTATGTTCCCCACGTACCACATGAGCCACAAGGCCAGGCTGGCGAACAAGACCAGCGCGCCGGTGTGGATGAGGAAATCCCCGTAAAACACGCCGTGCATCCGCACGTTACCGAATATCCCGACGAACAGCAGGACCACACCGAGGATGTCGAAGACGATCGCCATGACGAATAACGGCAGGCAGCTGCCGATGCACCTCAGCGCCGTCATCTTCGGGAGGAGGAGGATGCTGCTGCTCCTGTCGCTAGCGGAAGAACTGCCGAGCTCAGGTGAGACGCACCTGGCGCACAGGGAGGGAACGCCCTCGTGACGTCACGGTGGCCGCACGCAGGGCCGTTTCTAGGCATAGCCAGCTGAAGGGGCGCCAATGAGCGCACACACTGGCACTTTTAACAGGGTTGTGATAAAGAGTGGCACGGTCACCCTGAAATATGACTGCCGCCCCCACTGGATTCCCCAACATTATTGGGCTAGAGTACTGTCAATCTGACGATGACTGTATGCTACTAGATCAGAGTGCTGTCAATTGCTGCCTGATTGTTGCATGCAAAGTTTGCATTTGGGGCGCTCAACAACGCCATTAGATCAGTGGGCTCTGTCAGTGCTTTGGCAAGGTAACACTTTTTTT